GGATTGATCAACCTTTTCTTAGCCACTGCTTATATACGAGAAAGACCAAATGCTTGTTTGTAAACTGCGTTGAAAATTTAATGATCCACCATCAATACTGACATGAAGGCACAAATGAAATAGTTCCCTCTCCTTTTGGAATACACAAAGCAAAATATTTAATAAATTTTAGTGGATGGACAAGAGCAATTAGCATAGCTTCCCCTCAAGTTCTTCTGGCACTAATGAATTACACTGACGCTTATTCGCTTCATATTTTGTAACAAACGCGCTAAAATTGCAATATAACAGCACTATATGCTTCTTGACAAAATGCCATACAAGTAAAAATTTAGCCCTGATGGCATTCATTCTTGGTGGAAACGTAATTACAAAATATTTTGTAGTAACTATTAAATTCCGGTTGAAAACAGTCCACGGTTTAAAAAAGAATCATTCCAATGACGGTCCATTCTTGCGGTCCTGAAATCGCCACTATTTCCGGCCTCTCCAACGCAACTCGTTGTCCAGACGTAAATATGCCTGCGTGCTACAAAACGTTTTAGTCAAACATTTAACCCGCGCGGGGCTGGGGGGTAAATTTTACCCACCTCGCGAATTTTTGCGATATCTCAAACTTTTAGTACCTTTTCTTACATCAATTTGACACGTTCCCTGAAAATTTGAGCGGAATCCGTCGGAATTTTTTTGAGAAATTGACGTTTTAGTGCCGTCATGTTCGCCATTTTCGCCTCAAAAACGGCAAAATTTTAAACGCCGCTAACATCTTCATTTTTAAAGGAATCAAGACGTAACAAAAAAGGTTATACGTAATTCTACTTTGTCTATCAAATGGCTATCTCGGTTTTTTGAAAATTTTGGATTTTGGCCCAAATTTTTTCAAAAAACTGACTTTTTTGGGAAAATAATTATAAAATCAAAAATTTTGAGTGTATCGAAAAAAACAGAATATATGTCAGAGACGTGGCCTATGTGCACCTACATATAAATTTTTAGAAGAATCGGTTCAAAAATGTGGGAGTTATTCAAAATTTTATGACGTCACGACACACAAAAATTTTGAAAAATGATATTTTTGGAATTTCTAGACCTCGTACGGAAACAAAAATAGCACCATTCGATTCGCCGTGAAAAACTGCATCAAATAGACACCTTTTTAGGCCCTAACAACCAACTTCAATATTTGACCTCACTTGACCTGACCTTGACCTGACCTTGACCTGAAATTCATCCACAGGTGGTCCATATCACTTATTGAGTGTGCCTATTGAATTCTATGAGTAAAATGACCCATAAAACATGTGTCGCACATACCCTTTTATATATTTTGTTTTTTGGTGACCTGACCTGACCTGACCTTGACCTTGACCTCTGAATGATATTGTATGCAACGAATATTGTCTTGGTAGCCTAAGAACACGTTTTGGGCAATCAGTCTCAGTCCATGACTCCATTCTTCGGCAACTATACGGTGCAAGGCCGAGACTGTAGAAACTTGCAATTTGTACCCTTGACCTGACCTTGACCTTTACCTCAAACTTTAAATTAAGTACCTACATGTTTTTAGTTGTTCGTGATGAGATCTTTCGATTGGCGTTTGAATTTTCCAAATCGGACCATTAGTTCGGGAGATAACAGGGGGGGGGGGGGGGAATTTACACACCCCCAGCCCCGCGCGTTCGGCTGGAGACCCCAGCCCCGCGCGTTCGGCTGGAGACCCCAGCCCCGCGCGGGTTAAAAATCGTTAGATATCTGCGCTGACGTCACACATTCAGAGGGGTATTCCTATGCATTAGCCCCTCTGAATCAAAATGCTGCAATTTTGAAATTCAATCCCAGTAAACATGCCGACGTCGGCCCAACGTCGGTTCAACCTCGGCCCGACATCGGCTGGACGTCGGATATGCCCGCATGTTCCGACGTCCAGCCGAAGTCCAGCCGACGTCGAACCGACGTCGGGCCGAGGTCGTTTGCCGAGGTTGACTAGATCGTTTGTCGTTGGACCGACAGGGCCGACGTCGGCATATTTATTGGGGCAGCGCGCCAAAAATATCACCCGGCGGCGGGATTCGAGCCCCCCAGTCGCCGACGTCGGCATGTTTACTGGGACAACACGCCAAAAGCATAAGCCGGCGATGGGATTCGAACCCCGTGTCATTTGAACGCGAGGTTAGTGCGCTAACCACTACACCACGCAGCCAGATTGCAAGTTTAGTTTGTTTTGTTGGGTTATGCCCTTTCGGTCTGACAAGACCATTTCAGAGCCGGAAGGATGATAGGATGGAGACATTGGTCTTCTTGGCGAGCACCCTGGGTCCAGTTCATATAGAGTCTCTGGTCCCATTGCTGTTACGTGACACTTATTGGAAAGGGCGACCCCACAATGGATTCATATCTAGCCACTCTTACACACCTACACCAACGTTTCCCAAAGTGTCCCTTTGATAAGTGGCATGCTTTGGCAAAGTGACACTTGCCGACTGGCCTTTGTATATGAACTGGGCCCGGCCTTGGTGAGTTGCCGGGGCTGAGCCAGTGAGCCTGACCAAAGGATAGGCCGAGCAGCCCCCAAGCACTCACCGCACCCGGCTACGGGCAGTGGCGGATCCAGGGGGGGGGGGGGAAATGGGCATTTGCCCCCCCCCCCCAAACGGCATAATTTTAACATTACGCCTATGGACGATGCATGGAAAGAATCGATAAATTGTTATGGTTTGCCCCCCCCCCCCAAAAAAAAACTCTGAGCTGGATCCGCCTCTGGCTACGGGCGAGCTCGCCTTACGGGCAATCCCAAATGGGATAAAGTTTCCCGTCCAGTCCGGATCAGGGGGTTGTGGCGTGGAGGAAGATTTGAGTTTCCTGAGGATATTTTGAATACAGAAGCTCTTTATGAAACATGAAACATGTATTTTATATTATTTTAACGGTCAAAACAGCGGCCGATGTCGGTCCGACGTCGCCCCGACGTCGGCTGGACGTCGGTACATGCGGGCATATACGACATTCAGCCGACGTCGTGCCGAGGTTGGACCGACGTCGGGCCGACGTCGGCATGCCGATGCCGAGTTGCCGACGTCACCCCGACGTCGGCCGACGTCGGGCCGACGTCGGCATGTTTACTGGGAATATTTCCGATTTAAGGCATTTCTCGATGTTGTGATAGCCGAAGCCGGTAATTGTGAGCCAGGGGCCCCATTTTGGCTATCTCTACTCCGTAAAATATCCGTAAAATCGCCTTTGTACGGACAAAAAAGTGGTGCTATGGTAAAGATGGGTATCAATAGAAAGGTATCGTTTACCCAGACACAGTCCTGCAGGAAAATTTCACTTTTTCCCCATAGGAAAGTTTTTACGGAAAAATCAAAATTTTGGGTTAATAGGGGGTCCCCTCCGATTTCGTTCAAAATCGGCACACGGGTGCCCCACCACCAGCCTAGAAACTTTCCCCAAAACGGTCCCCGTTGCATTGACTTAACCCTCGCCGGCACAGGCCATTTTGCGTCCTTCGACGGCACAAGGGTTGGTACGACCCCCCCCCCTCGCGTTTGGCCCCTGATCAAGCTAGGGCTTCGCGGAAAAAACGAGCGTGCTGCCCGTCACGAGAGGAAGCCGATGATACCCAATTTTAAGGTCCTAGGTCATCGGGTGACCTTCCAGGTCAGGTCAATGACCCGAAAACCGGGAAAATCGGCACCTGTTAGAAAGTCGTAAAGTGTGGCTGCTATGTGTTTTTCCGGGGTGCTGATCACGAATATCGTGTTAGTTTTGATCAGAGATGATGTTTTTAAACGTTTAGACCAGGTCGGGTCAGGTCAGGTCAGGTCAACCGGTAGGGGTTGTGACGGGTATTCGTAATACGTGTCAACCGCCTCTGACAGCTTCGTGACATGTTACGAAGGCACCAAAACTACTTCGTAAATGTTCAAATGGTTGCTAAATTCGAATTCAGCTCCAAAAACTAGCCTAGAAACATGTAAAACTCGAAAAAGTGAACCGAGGTCACCCGAGGTCACCGAAGGTCAATGACCTGACCTGACCTTCAGGTGACCTTGACACCCACCCTAATGTATGGGAGCAACATCAAATCACATGTTTGAACGTTTGAAACCACGAAAAGCTTGCAAACGCGCGGCTAAATGCGAGCCGACATACGCCGAATCGCGATTTCGGCCAAACATGGTCACGGAAAAGAGGTCACAGGTCAAAGGTCATTGGGGTCAGGGTCATGAAATTTTCAGGGAACGTGTAAAATTGATCAATGCGAGGGTACTGAAAGTTTCGTCGCGATCGGCCGCTTTTTACGCGAGTTATTCGCGAAAAACCTTAGGGGGGGTTGCATCAACCCCCCCCCCCTGTGCCGGCGAGGGTTAAGGCCCGTAAAGCCCCCCAGACTCGTAAAATACCTACCCGTAAAATCGCCTTGTGAAAAATTGCCCGGAAAAGTGAAATTTTCCTGCAGAGCTGTGTCTGGGTAAACGAGAGCTTTCGATTGATACCCATTTTTACCATAGCACCACTTTTTTGTCGTACAAAGGCGATTGAATAAGTATTCACAAACCGCTCACCGCTCTACAACATCCCCTCACCTCACCTCCCGCTCTCCACACAACACTTCACCCCCGCGCTCTACACTTCACACATCGCTCTCACTCAACCCACTCAACCCACACGCTCGTCCGCTCATGGCACGGCTGGGCGTATCCAGCCGTCCGTCTGCCGTCTCCGCCGTCCCGTCCCGTCTAATCTGCTCCTCCAAAAGCGGGGCCGGCTGGGCGCCTGCCCGGCCACCCGCCTCCCGTGCTCCTCCCGCCGCCGAGGCTCTCCAAACTCCACGCTTGTTCGGTCCTCCCCGACCGGTCGGGCTGCCGCCGTGGTGGCCGCGGCCGTTGCCCCTCCGGTGCCCCCGCTGCCCCTCCGCCACTGCTAATTAGTGATTCAGATCGAAGCGCTCAGCCGGACCCGTTTCTGAGCCGGTTCTCCACTCCGGCTGATGTCCAGAGGCAACGCTCGAGAGAAGCGGATGAGACGCTGGACACTGACAGGGTGCCAGTCACATTGGGATCGCCATGGGACGAGCGGTGCCTGCTGCTGCTGAGACCGACGCGTGTAGCAAGGTAAAAGAGTGAGAGAGAGAGAGAGAGAGAGAGAGAGAGAGAGAGAGAGAGAGAGAGAGAGAGAGAGAGAGAGAGAGAGAGAGAGGAGAGAGAGAGAGAGGTTAGGTGAGGTGAGGTGAGGTGAGGTGACTTGGAGCGTTTGTGGTACACTCAGTGGAACGGGGTAGGGGATAAATGGTCAGTGCAATGGGGGGTAGGAGGGACTTAAGTTTAGACCGTGGGTCGGACGGAAGTGATTGAGGAAAGGAGTAAACTGATGTCGAAACGGATGGTATGTATGTACTTACTTATTAATGCTAAGACTATAGCGTGCAGGAGTGCCATGGTTACAAAATCCATTAGACTATCTAAAGATCCGATCAAGGTCGCATCACAAGAGTCAGGGAAGTCAAATTCCTGAATAGATATTACATAGTGCTTATGTTCGCAATTTTAAATTCTGTGTCCTTTCTCAAATGTGCCAAGTTTTGAAATAGGACATTCCCTTGTAACTGCTCAGTCAGCAGTGTTTTACGAGCGAGCGAAGTCTTTTCAATATAACGGGAAAATATCAGTATGAGCGGCCCAACCAGCCCAGCCTGGCCCAGTCTGTAACGCTTTTGACGGGCTTATATCTTAACCCGCGCCCCGCTGGGCTATTCAGCCATACGCGCCCTGCTGGGGGGGGGGGCAGATTCTGCCCCCCTGTCTTACTTCCGAACCGATGGTCGTAGAAAGACGGGGAAAACGGCAATCGAAAGCTCTTAACAAGGCGGATCTTAAGAGCCCAATGTTTTTTTGCTTAAGTAGGTCAGAGGTCAGGTCAAGGTCAGGTCAAGGGTACAAAATGCAAGTTTCTACAGTATCGGCCTTGCACCGTAGTTGCCGAAGAATGGACTGAGACTGATTGCCCAAAACGTGTTCTTAGACTACCAAGACAATATTCGTTGCATACAATGTCATTCAAAGGTCAAGGTCAAGGTCAGGTCAGGTCAGGTCAGGTCACCAAAAACAAAATATAGAAAAGGGCATGTGCGACACATGTTTTATGGGTCATTTTACTCATAGAATTCAATAGGCACACTCAATAAGTGATATGGACCACCCCTGGATGAATTTCAGGTCAAGGTCAGGTTAAGTGCGGTCAAATTTTGAAGTTGGTTGTTAGCGTCCCAAAATTACATTTCAGCTTGGGTGTCGGAGGGGAATATTCGTCACTAAAAAGAGGGGTGAGAGTGGAAAAATGCCAGTCAGAAAGGCACAAAAAGAGCGAAAAACAGGGATCAACAATGTATTTGTGAATGTTGAAGGATGTGGGAGTTGCTTTATAAGATAATTGAATCGAAAATGGAGGGAGGTAAAAGGTACCCACGGATGCCCTTTATTTGTAAAATAGGGAGTGAAAAATTCCTCTGGAAAGTTGGAGGTGGGAGCGGAAAATTATTTTGATTTTGGATGTCATTTCCCACCCAAACTGGCAAATTTTGGGACGTTAAGGCCTAAAAAGGTGTCTATCTGATGCAGTTTTTCATGGCGAATCGAATGGTGCTATTTTTGTTTCCGTAAGATGTCTAGAACTTCCAAAACAATCATTTTTCAAAAAAAAATTGTGTCGTGACGTCATAACATTTTGAATAACTCCCACATTTTTGAACCGATTCTTCTAAAAATTGGTATGTAGGTGCACATTGACCACTTCTCTGACATATATTCCGTTTTTTTCGATACACTCCAAATTTTGGATTTATAGTTATTTTTCCAATAAAGTTAGTTTTTTAAATTTGGGCCAAAATCCAAGATTTTCAAAAAACCGAGACAACCATTTGATAGACAAAGTAGAATCACGTATAACCTTTTTTGTTACGTCTTGATTTGTTTAAAAATGAAGGTGTTAGCGGCGTTTGAAATTTGCCGTTTTGGAGGCGAAAATGGCGAACATGACGTCACTTAAACGTTAATTTCTCAATTTTTTTTCCGACGGATTTCGTTTAAATTTTCAGGGAACGTGTCAAATTGATGTATGATAAGGTACTGAAAGTTTGACGTCGCTGGCGTAACGCGTTTATAAAGTATTTGCGAAAAACCGGAGGGGGGGGGGGCAGATTCTGCCCACCCACCCCCCCTCAGCGGGACGCGGGATAAGAGCTCTAATATCGCTTCATCAATGAAAAAGTCTTAATCTCTAGACCTGAATGGTCCAGATTTTGTGGGTCTTGGCGAAATCCAGCTGCGTCACTTCTGGATTACGGTAAGTCAGCGTTGCAGCCTGAGGTTGAGCGGTAAAGTCTTCAGATACCAGGTAATGGCCGATTTAGATGGATGCCGAGTGCCCTGGTCCAGATGCCCTGGTGCCGGACTCGTTAAAACTACATCCATTCTGCACTCAGGAGGGACATGGGAGGGACAACATAACCAGTAGCGGAGGAACAACTTCAATTTACCCGCGCCCTGGTGGGGTCTGTTTATAACGCGACCTGGTGGGGGGGGGGGGCTATTTTTTGCCCCCTTCGTATCTCCGAAACTACAAGACGGATCCGCAAAATTCAAACGGCGTTCGAAAGGCCTGTCAAATTTGTTGAATGAAACCAAATTTCATTGACCTCGGGGTCACCGATGACGTCACAGGTCAGGTCAAAGATGAAATGTTTCACCGTTCACGGGTCATCTAGGGAATGCGCTATAACACCGAAGAAAACACATTTTGTCGAGAATCAGCGGTAGGGCGTCAGTTGCCTAGTACAGATGTTGCTATAAGAGGTCACTGACATTACCAGGTCAGGTCACAGGTCAGGTCACCAAGGGTCACAACTCACAGGTCAGGTCACATGAACCTAACTTTAGGTACTAAGGTTGTGCGATGCATGTTTTATGGCCAATTTTTCATTTCCAACTCAATGGTGTTGATTATAAGACTATCAGGTACCGCTTAGGTCACTTTCTGGTGAAGGTCAGGTCAAGGTCAGGTCAAAAAAGGTCAAATTTTAAAGTTGATAGTTTTGCATAAAATGGGTATTGATTCGATGCAGCTTCGATCACGGGGAGTCTAATGGTGGTCTTTGGTTTGCGCTACGGGGTCTAGAATTGCTAAAAATTGAGTTTGAAAATTTGACGTCATCAATTTTGAAGTTTCTTTTCGCTATAACTTCGCCAAAAAAAGAGGTATCAATCTCAAATTTGGTATGTGGATAGAAGGCGGTAAGGACTATCACATATGTTCCGGTTTTTGCGAAATTCAAAAAACTTTTTGGATTTTTCGGCCAATATATTCAAAAAATCTATTTTTTGATTTTTGAGGGTTAAAATCCAAAAATTTTAAAAATCCGAGATAGCAGTTTTGTAGCACTGTCAATTCTACAGCTTTTATGTCTTTATCGTTTTTCTGTATTTGTAAAGCTATAGGCTTGACAGCTCTTCCCGCGAAACCTTTTTTGGGTCGAAAACGGCAGAACATGACGTCACTCTGACGTCATATCCGGCCAACCTATCATAGCCTTTGGAAAAAAAATTTAAGTCACAATGTGTAGAATTGATGTCCGGGAGGGTATTGAAAGTTTGGTGACGATCGGCGCAGCGGTTCTGGAGATATATCGAAAAGTCTTGAGGGGGGGGGGGGCAAAAAATAGCCCCCTACCAGGGCGCGGGTTAAGGGGGAACACTGACGACTTTTGGTCCCATTCTTTCCATGCAACGCCCGTAGGGCTCATGTTAAAATGCCAAAATCAAGGGGGACACGGTTCCCCGGTGCCCCCCCCCCCCCCCCCCGTTCCGGTTCGGCCGCCTATGAACATAACAGACCGTGCCAACCGCGCATCAATTTCGTGACACTCTGTATACCTACGTCTCGCGTCAATTCCGTCGGGATGGAGCCACCACTGCATGGACTTGAGCCACCATCTCCGTACCTTTCGTATATACGGAGTTGTAGCCGTGTGTATAAAAGCTGCATTGTCTGCATAGCATTCCGCCCTGATGGGCTACTGTTCCGGCAGAGACGATTTTATTTTTGAGCCCTAATCGCTTACACATTCCATTAAGGTACTTTTTAATGAAAATGAAAATGTTAAGTAATTTTGACCACCTAAGATTAGAATTAGCTAAGATATAAATTTCGAGTGTTCTTCGAAGCCTGCAGCTAAGAGTGAGAGAGATCTCATTTTTTCAGAGGTCAAGTCATGCCGTTCGGGAGGACGGATGGATGGACCGGCTGCCCAGTATTCCGGCGGGGCTGAGGTTACCGCAGGCACTCGCCAGTCGCACCACAGTGCTGCTGGTCACACTGCTGGCCGGCTGCATGCTGCTGCTGTACTCGGCCGGCTCCGGACACATGAGTCCGGCCGCGCTGGGCCAGCACTACAACAGGATCCGCGGCGTCGCGCACAGTCGGCTCCGCAGCCTGCTGGACAGCAGCGCCGGCAGTGAGCCGCTCAGCGCCGTCTACTGCTCGCAGGCGTGTCCGTGCGCCTGCCGGCCGTGGCGCGGGCCGGAGGACGGCGATCCTCCAGAGCCGACCGTCTCCAACTGCGGGCATACGGCCGACCGGCGCGGCGCGGGACAGAACGTGCTGGCCTACACCTTCTTCGGCGACAATGTAACCGCCTACTTAAGCGGTATCGAGCGGAACGCGATGCGTGCGCTTTTGTTTTACCCCGGCTGGACAATGCGCGTTTTTCACGACGGCAAAGCTAGCTCCTCAGAATGGAACAATACAGCCTGCGAAATTATTTGCAAGTAAGCTGTTTGTATGCTCTTAAAGGAATTATAAGGGTTTTTTGAAAATTTACACGTAAAATTCTTGTGTGATGTGAGATACCCACCTCTGAGTTTTTACTATTTGGTGAGCGATAGGTTATGCAGTTTTATAAGTCCTCGCATCTATAGACATATGTACGAGTACCTACAATAGCCAGATATGGTATATCATCTTGGTACATGATTCAGCCTTCAAAATTAGCCACTTTTAATTTTACCCTTTGTCTTGCAGGTTTCGCAACGTAGACTTTTGTGACGTGCGTCATCTGCCCGGTCTGGGAGATATCAGCAACCAGTTTGGCGGCGTCTGGCGATTTGCCGTCATCGCAGACGAGTCTGTCGAACGGTTTGTGGTGCGAGACCTCGACTCTATACTGACGCAGGTGAGACAAAATACCTATCTGCGGCAATTGTCTGAGCTCTTGAAATGTGCCTACAAAATGTTGAACACGAAAAACCATGTCAGCAGTTTTGGTTATCGTTCATTCTTTTTTTTTGTCCTCCCGGCAAGCCAAGCGGCTATAGCCGGGGGAGGGGGAAAGTTACTAGCTGGCAATTGGCCAGGTCTTCCGTTTACGTTACGTTAATGCCGGCTATTTAATTCCGGCCCAAGAACTAAGACAAAGGCAAAAGACTACGTTAAACCGGCTCATGTGGCGTCCGGTGGGTTGCAAAGCAAAGGGAAGGCCGAAAGGTGCCTGATGGGCGAGACAATAAATTTGGTTACTTACATAGAACTTGCTGCTGAGACTTGCTGCTGATTTGTGTGCTGTTGTTTGGTGTGTGTTGTTGTGGGGTAAACTTTACCAGGAAAAGTCCTAACTAGAAAAAACCTGGTGCCTAACCAAGAAGGCAAAAACCTGTGCTTTCAGCCAAAGTACACAGTAAAAAGCCCTTTCTTTAATTACGTTACGTTATATCACTAGGAGTGGCATTGTATGTGGATTTGCACGCAAGAGGTGTGCTCGGACTGACCAAATAAAAACCGGTCAGTCCAGCGACTCCTCTGCGGGTTATGGCAGCCGGTGTTAACCGGGTGCCGCCAGCCATGTCCCGCCCGTCTTAGGGGTTCAACTCTGGCGGCTTACACATATATGTATACACTTGGAAAAGGCGACGAGAACGAAAGCGAATGGAAGCAAAACGAAGCGGATGGAGACGACGATGGAAGATCATAGGAGCATCTAAATACGTGTGCTGGGTTGCGATCATATGCTATTGATGAGATTCGAATCACTGAGGAAGGTAAAGAGAAGTTCAATTAGATCTGGATGATCATCACCCAGGAGCGTTGGGAGGTCCAGGCTGAGGTTGTGTGTGTTTGTGTAGTGAATGATTCGTTTACCATATCACCTAGTAGGATTTCCACATACTTTTCAGAGAGAACGCGACGCAGTCAACGAATGGCTTGAGTCCAACAAAACGTTCCACGTCATGCGGGATCACCCGTTTCATGGAGATGAGATTCTGGCCGGCATGTGGGGTGGATGGAACCGCTACAACGACAAGTACCGCCGACTTCGTCAGCAGATGATCGGGTCAATTCGCCCCACCAGAAAGGTAGGTAACCGCCGAACGTTTTTCCTATCTACGTAGACGGTGACGAGTCTTCTTGTACGGACGGTGGCGGCGTCTTCTTAGTTGCGTATTGGGTTATGCAATATGCATATCCGCCCCGGCAGTGTTGCTACTGGAACACTTTTGCTTTGCACGTGCACCGGCTCACGAACGGCTGAATAGATTGACTAGAAACCTGGGCGCAGGAAGCTTTAGTGGGAAGTTGGATTTGAACACCACAGTCAGTTTAGTTTAGTTTAGTTTAGTTAATTCAATCAATCATCCACAGGCACCCAATGACGGATGAAGTCATAATATAAAACAGTTGAGGTATTCTCCATGCACACACAAATGCACGGGCCTCTTCAGTCTTCGTCATCTTAAGAACGAATTAAAGTGCATGCAACAATATGTAACTACATGCAAATAACAATACAGGCACTACTTGTTCTTCGATCTTCATTTCATGCATGATAATGTACAAAAAAAGTTGATTTTGATCAATTCAGGATATGCAAGAGCTCTCATCTAAGCTTATTCTGAAAGGACACGACTTACGAGACGGTCAACGGTTTCTAGCAGCTTTACTTTCTGAGGAGGCTAGGCTAGTCGTGGTACTGTAGTAGCTGCTCACTGCTGCCCAGTCATGTGTAATACGGCACTCTAACCCAAGTGGTGTCTGGTTTCAGTTCAACTGGGACCAGACCCTTCTGAGAGACGTCCTGTGGCCCGAGATGGTCCGAACTGGCGACCTCATGTCGCACGACAGCTACCAGTGCCAGAATTTTCCATTCACACAGCCGTTCCCGACGCAGCGTTACAACATGACCGAGTTTGTCGGCTCGCAGTACACCAGGACGACGATCAGTGTGCAGAAGGAATGCCCCTTGGCCTGCAGGCCTCCGTCGCATATGCACTGGTTGTACTGCTGAAACAACAAAATGGATTTCTCCATTCCTCCGCAACCCATGACATTTTTTTATAGGCATTAGCCGTTTTCACGACGGCCATCTGGTACACATTTGGTGCACATCTGATACAGATCAGGTGCAGATTTGGTCAAATCAGGTTCAGTGTGTCTCTTAGTAGCTATCAGCTAGGGTTGCACTAATTGCTTATATGCCTCCTTTGTCATATTACCAGACAGTATCATCAATTAAAACACTGAAATAAATTCATAAAATAAAGATAATTGCTGTAAAAGAGATAAGTGCAGATCTGGTCAAATCAGGTGCACTCGCCGGATAGCCCGTCGTGAAAACGGCTACTATCAGCCAGCAATGGAAATTAAGTCGCATTTATAAACGCACGTGCCGATTTTTTCCAACTTCATGTGCTTAAAGTCCAAGATTTGGCAAACCTCATGAGCACTGTAATGAGTTGTTGGAAACTTGCCCGCCTGCCCTCCGAGATGGTCGACATGACCATCAGCCACCTGCAGACTGTGCTACTGCTGGAGCTGATCCGCCGGAAGGGCGCTCACATTGAGCATCTGCTTTGAGGAGCTGCCGCGACTGACCAGAGGGTGTACATGCCATGTGGCACCTGCCGTCTGTTTTGCCATGTTTTACTGAGTACAAGTATATGCCATTTTCAAATGTTTGTTTTCGGAATCATAGCAAAAAATAATAGTATCCGTTTTTCTGGACACCCTGTACGTACTCCGGATTCCCTGGGCTTCTAAAAAAAAGTTAGACGAATTTGTAGCTAATATATTTAAGGGTGTATCAGTGGTGTAACAAAAAAAGAATTGGATAATGGATATCATCTGAAAGCCTCATCAAAGACATTTCGTTTGAGGTTTTCGACCCTCGGCAGTCGCCTTTCTGAGCCGCGCCGAGGTCATGTTCGATAGGGTGTGTCATTTTGGGCACTTTTTCGCAAAACATGGTGCTCCACTGATTTTATCGTGCCCCAGACACGTAGAAACCGTGTGACATTTTTTATTTCCCCCAAATATTAAAACCCATGCGGCGCCGACCGCCGACACTTTGGCCTATCTCTCAGCATTAGCGACCTCAGCGCCCCTAGCGGCAATGTTTTGAACTAACACGCTCGCCATGCTTTGTGAGCTTACGATCATCATTAAATGCATTTTACCGAAATGACGCCTTGCTGTTGGCTTGTCTGGCACTCAGAATGTTGGTGAAAATGTGATGTTATGCATCTTAAAGCACGAAATAGTTCTGTGTTAATGTATATTGCATAGTACTACCCCCGATCCCCGTCCTGGTCTGACGGGATACGTACGAGCGCATGTTTATAGTGCCTGCTATTAGGTGTCACATGTTTTTTTTTTTGTAGCGTCGTTCACTGCATAGACCCCGGGGAACAGGGGGGGGGGGGCAGTGGGGGCGCTTACCCCCCCCCCCTCCAACTTGAGAGCCGAGTGGGCGCCGCCCCCTCAACATTGATGCAACGATGAAGGATCTCTGCTCCCTTTTATGGACCTACATGTCTGTTTTTATATAAACATCAGCACAAGGTATTTCTCTTGCATGTGAAATGAATGGTTTCTGCTGATTCGGCATCGATTTAAGAACACCTGCTATTCTCATCCCACTTTGATTTTATCTGAACTTGATCATAACTTTGGTAGGTCAGATTTTATACTGGACCATTTTGGTGCCGGATGGTATTTGATTTGTCGTGATGAGAACATTATGACGTACAACGGTGGTAAAGTCGTTGATTGATACAGGTTTACTCGCTCCGGTGGGAGGCAGTAGCGGCGGAACACCTTCAATTAAGTGGAGGGGGGGGGGGACACTGCCGACTTTTGGTCCCATTCTTTCCATGCAACGCCCATAGGGCTAATGTTAAAATGCCCAAATCAGAGGGGGCACGGTGCCCCGGTGCCCTCCCCGTTCCGCCGCCTATGGTGGGAGGGCGGCGTGTGGGACTCAGAAGGAGACTAATGGCTTGTGTTGTGCCTTTGGTAGGACCCTCAGTATCACCGATGCAGGGCCTTCAGAGCCTCCAATTAAGGGCCTTTAGAGGCACTGGTGTGGGGTCCTCACAGACGCCCGTGTGGCCCCTCAGAGGTGCTAGTGTGAATCCCTCATAAGCGCCGGTGAGGGTCCTCACAGAATACAGACGCCGTTGTGGACCCTCAGAGACACTGGTGTGGGTCCGTTACATGTGGGTGTGTGCCGTGTGGCCCTTAGAGCTGCTGGTGCGAACCCCTTAAAAGTCGGCAGGGGGCCCTCAACGACCGGGGAGGGGGACCTCAGACCGGCAAGGGGCCCACAGAGGCCGGCGGCATTTTCAGAAGCCCTGTGGGGTCCTTAGATACCGACAAGGTACTCTGAGACGCCAGTGTGGCCCTCAGTCTCTGGTGTAGGGCCCTCAGAGTTGCAGGTAGGTGGCCGTCAGATATGCTTTTGCCGAACCCTCACAGGCGCAGGTGTGGGTACCTCAGAGCCACCAATATAGGGTTGCATAAATGGTGTGGCACTGGCTTGGGGGACCCTCAGTGGTGTCCTTATGGGCCCTTAGAACCACTGGTGTGGGTCTCTCAGAGGTGCTGGTTGTGAACCCTCAGAGGCCCTGCTGAGGGCCCTCACGGTCTCCGTTATGGAATCCTCAGAAGCCGGCGTAGACCCTGACGGAGATCTTAGTGTGGCTACTTAGGGGCTCATGAGGTGCTCTTACGAGACCTGTGAGGTCTTTCTCAGCTGAAATATAGTCAGCGTGGACCCTCAGAGGTCAGTTGGTACCGCAGGGGTCTTTATGGCCGGGTGGGCTCTCAGAAGCACCAGTGAGGGCCCTCAGTCTCACAGTCGTCGTAATGGGGCCGTCAGAGACATTGGTGTGAGGCCATTACTGATTACAGGTTGGCGTAAGGCCCTAGATATGGCCCTCTTGGGCCGGCAAGGACTCTCAGAGGCACGCTAGCAGCCATAAGAGGCCGGTAAAGGGCCCTCAGAAGCCGCCAGTAGCCTTCAGAAGCCGGCGTGTAACCCTCATGGACAATTTAGTGAGGCTTCTTTGGACTCACGAGGTGCTGTTACGAGCCCTATTCTTTCTGAATCGAAATATGGCCAGCATAGACCCTGAGCGGTAAACTGGTGCCACAGAGCCCCTCCGACCCGAGGGGTCCTCTGAATGCGATATGGGGGGGGGGGGAGTAGATGGCACGTGCCTCCTGGGACCCCCTGACTACGCTACTATTTCATATGCGTCATGTCAGGTATTTTGGGCTTGCACCCCAACTTGAAGAATGTTCCTGGGCCCCTGTGACAATATATTGTATTCATTATAGGTATTCGTCATTAGCTTGCACTCTCTGCAATCTGCCTATACTATTATTTGTCCCTAGACGCGCTTACAGAGAGCAGGGATAAGCCCATACAGTCAACGGCCTGTTAGTTTCGCAAACAGCCGCCAGGGGCGCTAGGGTCGCCTATGTTGTGAGATAGGGCAAACTTCTCTCGCTCGGCGCCGCCTGGGGGTTAAAATTTGCGGGAAATTAACAATGCCACGCCCTTTCCACATGAGTGGAGCACAATAAAATCGATGGAGCACCTTGCATTGCGATTAGTGACACACCCTAAATTGTTCGAGATAACTCCCTTTTTGCTCGATGCACAGTTTAGCCCGGCGCAGCGCGACCTCTGCTGCAGCACGACCCACAGAAAGCTGCAGACGGTCACGGCACACCGCTGACTTCACTGCATCCTTATGAATATGATCTTCGGAACTTTTTGGGTGGTTTCGGTTCACCTGGAACTTGAGGTGGTCCTAAAGGGAAAAGTCCGGTAGGGTTAAGTTCGGGGAACTTGCCGACCACGGGTGTGTCTCGAACCTTGAGATCACGCGCTGCCCGAAGCGCTCCCACAGCCCCTCCCGGTTTTCTTTAGCGGTATTGGCGTGGTACCGTCTTGCTGGAATCATTGGATCTTAAGCGTTTCCTGATCTCTGCTCATCCAGATACTGCAGAACCCTCCAAACCGTCGCCAGGAGCCACACGACATCGCTGGCTATTGACAGTCTGAGTAGCGCATCTCTCACACGCGTGGTGTTCGCCGTGAGACTTTGATTGGGTTTATGGCCGCCGCCATGTGTTTCGTGAATTGCGTGAACCTACTGTTAACATTTCCTCGAGCCAGAAACTTGTCAATAATGTGAAAAATGTTGTTTCAAGATAATACTCTCTTTGGCTTTGGCGTGGCCACTCAGCCCCTGCCAAAGCCTGCGGCTGTATGGCATTTGTACTCGGTGGTTTGAGAGCTACCTGTCAAACCACCGTCAGCAGGTAGCGCTGGCGTCCCGCACCGCCGGCCGCCACCTGTCTCGCGCGCTGGTCAACCCGCTAGGCACGTACAGTATGTCTAAAAAGAATGTACCGTCGCCACTACGTGGCGCTGGTGTCGCGAGCCGGTAGTTGGCTGAATCCGCACCAGACCACACATTCCCAAGCGCTAGGTGACAGCTGCGCAGCGGCCGGTAGTAGCGTAAGCCCGAACCTTCGTGACACGACCCCGGGGGGGGGGGAGAGGGAGGGGAGCGGGCGGGGCAGCGCGTGCAGGGAGAGGTGCTCCGGCAAGCTGGCAGTTGTCGCGGCCAAAGGTCAAGGGGTCACACACCAAGCGAACGGACGCTGATGTGGGTTCGTAGGGATCGTGAACTTGTGTGTGGTAGGTGCGTCTTGCGATGCACGGGTGATACGCCATGGGTCTAAGCCAAATGATTCAGGGGAGAGCTGAAGAAAAATACCTGGTCAACTACGGCGAATAATGGTGCTGAAAAATGGAAAGTATGGGTCAATGCAAGCCTTCATGACTATAAACTTTTCTGATGGCGCAAAGGCCAGCATTGAATAACGATATCCGGATCGAAATTAGCAATGGTTTATAATTACATGCCGAAGTAATAGCGCTGCAAAACCCACCTAGTAAATTGTCAGGTCGGATTCATACCGACTTGAATTAAACTATCCTAAATTAAATTGTTATACATATATAAAATCTCTATGCTTTGACCAGCTTCGTGACCTGACGGGCTGTGACCTGACCTTGACCCGAGGTTAACACCTTAACTTGATCTCACCCGAAGAAAAAGTATACCATTCGACACGCCTGAGCTAGACAAACACGATGCTGCTAAAATCGCGGATCTGCGATCATTTTTAGCGAAGTTATTTACCAAAAACCGAACCTGTGCCTTGGGCCACTTAACCTAACCTCAGAAGTCATCGGCTGATCCTAGTCCTTAAAATTGGAGACCAATCGCTGCATTTCGTAACGACGCACACGATCGTTTCTTTCGTGAGGGTCTAGCTCAATAAGGGGCGAATCGGCAAAGGGGGTTGTTCCCTCACTTCCAACCCCCCCAAAGCCCCCACGGTATTCAGAAAACCTGAAGGTCCGGTGAGGGTTAAAACGTTGCTCTTGAACGAGGAAGAATTGTAAAAGTCAAAGCTCTATAGACGTCCTGTAAAAGTGGCCATAATAAATCAATTGGTTAGAGATAAGATGCTTTTTAAACGACTTCCTCATATAAAATCCGGTGCTGGGACCAATCTTATAAACGCTTTAGAATGGACAGGGCGTCACTGGCTAAACTTTGGGTGCAGAAAACGGCTATTAAATGCAAA